TGGGACGTCGAAGGATCGATCGATGTCGCTCGACACCTGTTACCGAACACATCCATCTTCCGTCTTCGTCTAGCGTGCTTTGATTGCATCTGTCAAAGCTTCGTGCATGTGCTTATTTCGAACGCGTTTTTCGCTTTTTGTTGCGTGGTCTTTAATCTTTCAACCAGAGTTTTAGCACGGACTAGGTGAATTTTAATTGCGGAATTAATAACTGCGTTCCAGGTCATTTTGTTTTTCTTGGTCTTGCATTTTTTCGTGCGAGAAAATGTTGCCAAATATTTTTCCTGATTTCTCTGTTACTTTTAAAATACGTTGTTATAACAACAAAGTTGGGATGAATTGATATTTTGATTTTTTTGACGAATGAAGTGAAAATATCTCATTTTTTTGGTGGGATAGATCCATCTGAAAAGTACACTTACATTTCGTTCTGAAACTGGCCTAAAACAATTTCATTTCAATAGGTCATAGTTTTTATCTGCGAAAATGTATGAATAAAATTGCTATGAAAAATTCTTTCGTGAATATATTTAACATGATAGTAGTACAATGAAAATTGCAGATATACAAATTTCAAATTTATTAAAATTCATAATGAAACAATATTTGAAATTTTCTCATAACTTTAATACAAATACGCATGGCGGCGTTTCGAAGTACTAGTTCTTTATCAAATGCTGGATTAATACATTTCAGTTTTAATCCAGCATTCGATAAAGAAGTGGTACTTCGAAACGTCGTCATGCGTATTTGTTTTGAAATAATGAGAAAACTTCAAATATTGTTTCATTATGGATTTTAATTTTGTCCAAGTGTCGGCCTCATCAATCATCGATTTAATGAAAGTTATTGAATGAATGAACACCCAATCAAAATATCAGATCCTTCTTATGTATTCTCTTTCGAAATATGGCTTTCAAAACAAACAATAACTTAATATATGCACGAAGGTTTCGCTTATCTCTTGATAAAACATTATGTTGAAAACAATTAATCAAAATTAATATACTTGGCTTATGTTTCACGTAATATATTGAAAACTCTACATATGTTTCTAGTGGTTAACCCATTATCAAAATTCAGTAACATTGTATACTCTTGATAATAGGTCAACCATCTGAAACATATGTAGAGTTTTTTCGATATATGTATATATGTTGTATTTAGTGAAACTTAAGCGGAGTGTGTTTATTTTAATTTAATCGATATTGAATTTTTTTTTATTATTTCGATTACGATTGGCTATCCTGTCAAAAGCTCTTTGGTATTTTCTGAAAATTTTTCACTTATATTTTGAGATTAATTGCTTATAGTTTATTTCCATTCTTGAACTTACCTGAAAATTTATTCAATGAAAATTTCAAGAAATTAAGATAATCAATGGACATATTCAATAGAAGCGCAAACACATTTCGTTGATTTACTCATGGTACGGTGTAAGGTCCACTGCTATTCTCCTTATTCATTAATGATATTGTATTTGATGTGATAAAATGCTGTATATGATTATTCGCAGATGATTCACAATGATTTATATTAGTGGTTAATATATCCAGATAATGACAGAATGGATCAATAGAGACTTAGGAGCAATAAATGGATGACTGAGTGTTAACAGTTTAAAATACTGAAGGTAACTGGTAACGAAAATATAATTTTCAAAATTGAAAACCACAACATTGAAAAGGCAGAAGTTGTTTAATATTTAGGCATTATGTTTGATGAGAAAATGAGTTTCAACGATCACGTCAACTTAATATCGTTTAGAATCTCCAGGAAAATCAACTTTGTGAAAAGAATTGAAAAAAATTTCACGACATATGTGAACTTATTGCTCTTTAAGTCAATAATAATGTCACACTTTGAGTATTTTTATTACTCTATTATTCGGATTTAGTAGAGGAAAAAACTCAGCAGCTACAAAAATTGCAGAATAGAGATATGCAAACAATTTCGAAATGTAATATATATGCTACCGGCCAAACCCGATTTCAGGCCAAACTAGTTTTGCCTAGGCTAGACTAGTTCATCCTATATGCGATCGGATTAACCAGTGCAGACTAGGCCAAACTGGTCTGTCCTAAGGGCGATAAAATGAAGGAGAAACTAGTTTAACCTAGGAGGAACTGGTTGAGCTTGATTTGAATAAGTACAATTCAGGATAAACTAGTTTGGCCTGAACTATACTGACAGAAAATAATAAAATACCACAAAAATAAAATCAAGGTGCATTATTTGATTAGATCAAAATCAATTTCATTTATTTTTGCATGGTGTACTCTGTTGGCATTTGGAATTGCAAAGCACCATTTTTTTTCTTGCATTTGCACCTGTATGTCAAACAGTTCCTTACGCAACTGCACCTTACGAAATCTTGCCACGAACCAACCGAATGTTTAGTGGCTGCAGTCCTCAGAGATATTTCAGTATCTTGTTCAACATCATATACGCTTAAAAATTTCTGAATACGAATATCCAATTCAGTTCTGAAAGAAAAAGCATTCAAACAAATATCATTCAATCACCAGAAAAATATGGTATCATCGACAATGAATAAAAAGTATTATTAGCATGGGTTTTAACAAAGCGAGCCAAAATCTGAAACCTGAAATATAATTTCTGCAATACACCATGTTTGGTGCCAACTTTATAGAGGCCCTCGTTATTTGCCTGAAGAATAACCCTAATGATGTTTCTGAGATCACCTCTGCCTTTGTCTACGTCTGGAATTGGTATAGTAACTAACATTGTCTCCAATATTGGCAGGTGGATGGGATTTGTCCGAAGAAGCTTTCATTTTTTTGCTTGCTTTTCAAGATTTTCAGCCGCCGTTTTGAATATTCAGCATCTTGAATGTTCTGTGTGTCAATTTCCACAACATCATCACCATCTTCACTCTGGTTACTATTCGAATTATTTTCGATAACTTTTATAAGGTTGTCCTCAAACATGAATATCATTTATTATTTCTTACGGCAACGATGAAGTCGAAAGTCCTATTCTAGGCTCTATACCAACAAAGGAATGGTAAGGCGATTGTTTTACTCCTGAGTGAAAGGCATGGTTTTTCATGAACTGAATACGTAGTCGCTTCAACCTTTCTGACTGAGTAAATTAGTATAGGCTAGGCCGAACTTGTTTATCCTGAAGTGTACTTTTCATATTAGGCTCAACCAGTTCCTCCTGGGTTGAGCTTGTTTCTCCTATCGCCTTAGGACAGACCAGTTTAGCCTAGTCTGTATCGGTTTATTCGATCGCATATACTAGTTTAGCCTAGGCAAAACTAGTTTGACCTAAAATCGGGTTTGGCCGGTAGCATATATACTCCAATCGAAAGCATGTTAATTGCTTAGAACTAATTTCAGTTGAACAGAGAATACTTTATGTCACATACATATTTGAAATTGAAAACAAATTTTTTACAGGTAAAGTAATGAAAAATATAACAAAGTCTCAGTGATGTGCACGATTATAATACAAGAAATACCGACAGTTTTACATGCAAGTTTGTGATTTTTTCAAATTTAGAAATAGTATATTTTATGGAAGATTCAATGCATTGAATGCATTGCCTAGCTCGATAAAAACAATTAATAACCTTAAGGTATACAAAAATGAAGTAGCTAAGTTCATTTAAAACAAATGAAAATTCTTGGTAATGAATTTTGAACGTACATGTATGTATGAATTTTGTAATAGCTATTGCTGAATTAATATTTTATTGATAATTATTTCACTTATTTTTGTTTCCAAATGTGCTCTCATTTTCGTATATATTTTTCTTCAATAATGAAACGAAATCAATGGTCTTCCAACAATGAGCAAAAGATTATTCAGTATAAAGGTATTTTGAGATTGATAACATTTTGAAAATTTTCTCTTCGTTTTGAAAGGCTGCCATTTCCAAAACGAATGATGCTTCAATTTAAAGAGTTGGTGATTTTTTGAAGATAAATAATTATTTCTGGAGAAGCAACACTTTCGTTAAAATATGACAACACAAAGAATTGATTGATTCATTATTCAAATGGAATCTCGTATTTAGATATGCAAAATGGTGAATGCGAAAGAACTGATGTCCAATAAATTTTAAGAGAGAGAAATAACATGACATATATAACTGGCATGTTATATATGCTATATATTTCCTTTATATAATAATTTGTAATAAATCACAAAGAGGTTTCGCTTATCTCTTGTTGAAACATTATGTTGAATAATGAATTGAATTCAAATACTTGGCTTTAGTTTCACTGAATATACGAGTAACTGTTTTATTTTTTGCTAGTGTCACTCGCTTTTTTGATTTTTTTTGTATATTTTTTTTTTGTAGTTTTTTCATCACATACTCAAAGAATGTACTCTTATTTTTTTGCAACATACATGTTTTTCCTGTTTTTATTATTGAAATTTCATTATAACTTTGTATTGGCTGCTTCAATTTGTAAGGGGTTAGGTGTTAGAGTGGCTGATGCTAAATCTCGCCTTATTACATGAATTGTATGAAAATATGATTTCAATAAAGGCATATTATTACTATGAGAATAAAGACAACTATAGAGTTATTCCCAAAGGCTTTTCATAGTGAACTCAAACGTTCTTTACGTGAAAAGGAGAAAAAAAGTAAATTTCTTATATTCAAATTGTTCATTTATCAAATTCTCTTCTGTCTATTGATCTCCACTTTTTTCCATGAAACTCATTGTCTGCTTTTATGAATCTTGAAATCCTAAAATTTTGAATTTTGAATCGAAAGTATGATTGTTTCTCAACAAATGATTAGAATATTAGAGCTACTTTCATGATTTGTGGAGTTTTTTGTGGTTTTCATTTCAGTGAAATTCGTACTTGTTTTATTTATATACGAGTATATATTTGAATAGGTTCCACAATTTAATTGATAAACGCCTGATTTTTTCTCTTTCGGTTTTGGTTTTATCATTTTTGGTATGTTTGAGAAGGTAATTGATCAATTTAACAACAATAAATCAAAATTAACCGCTTTCCGTGGCTCAGTCGGGAGAACAACCGACTTTGGTGCGGTAGAACTCGGGTTCGATCCCCGGTAAAGGTAGGAGTGTTTATGTTTGTCTATGATTTAAATATTGATATATGCCGGGCAATGTACTTTGATTACAAGCCGTTCGGAACCGACGTTGAACTGTAAGTCCACTGAATTGAAACAAAATTAAAAAAAATAAATTAAAAAAATAACACAGTTCGTTTAAGTTTCACTAAATATATTAAAAACTCTACATATGTTCCGGACGGTTAACCTATTATAAAGAGTATACAATGTTGCTGAATTATGATAATGGGTTAACCACCCTGAACATATGTAGAGTTTTTAATATATTTAGTGAAACTTAAGCTAAGTGTGTAAATTTCAATTTATTGTTTCAATTATAATGTTTCACCAAGAGATGAGCGATACTTTCGTGTCATCTATTAATTTATTTGTTTGTAATATGGCGTTAGTGAATAAGTAAAAGGATTTGATTTTTTGGGTGGGTGTTCATCCATTCAATAACGTTAATTATTTCGAAACTTTTAGATCTGCAAATTTTATTATTTTACTATTATGTTAAATATATTCATAAAAAAATTTTTCAAACCAATTTTATTCATACCTTTTGTCAGATAAAAAACTACGTGTTGTTGAAATGAATTTTTGTTAGAACAGTTTCAGAACAAAATATAAGTATACTTTTGAGGTGGATACATCCCTTCACAAAAGGAGACATTTTCAATATATTCGCTCCATTTGTCAAGGAAGTTTTCACCATCATGTATGATTACCTTCCCAACTAAGTGGTCTCAATTGTAATTGTAAAATACCAATTAAAAAAATGAACACTTAACGTCAGACCTGTAGAAAAATATTGAAAGACTTTCGTGCTAAACTCAAAGAAAACACTTTCCAGATTAACTCTTCTAGCATGCTTTAATTCCGTGAAACCCCAAAACCCAAGGAATTACAAAATGAAAGCGATATCAAACCTTCAACACCTCCATACCGTTATACAACTCTAACATAACGAACAACAATAGAATTTTCAACTAGTTTCGAAATCATTCTGCAGCTTCTTTAATTCCGGACCAACTTCAGGATGCCAAACTAACTTAACACGATTAGAGAAGTGTCCACACCCTATTCCAGGTCTCTATGAGACGTTACGTTAATTCAATAAAGTTAATATGAGACACGAGCTGAAGGTGCAAATTGAATTAGTGGAGGCGGCTCTGAAGCCGTCTGGGATGTCGGGGACACCGAACGGCTCGACTTGGGGCGGTGCTGTTGTGCGAGCCTTCACACTTTGCCAAGTTTACTCTCCACTCACAAATTCCTAGGGCTCTTTGTTTTATATACAGATCTGATTAATGGGAGCCGACAATTATGGATCGACTTCAGAGGCCAAACGTTAATTTGGTAGATCAGATATTCCGAAACCTGAGCGGTGGGAGTTCCGTCAATAGTTGTGTTTGCTTGGATCTGTTTCAAAGGAGTAAATTTAATGAGATTGACAGGGTGCTAGGAACGAATGGTTCATTGTGATGTTAATGGAAACTGAGGACTTCTAGAAGGATTATTCCCTAGGAGAGTTTTCATTTAAACGCCAAAATGTGAAATTGCTGACGATGTTTCATCTCAATACCTACCAGGTTCGGTTTTGGGAACGATTTTGAATATATAAGACCTTTCGTTCCATTCTACCAGCAAAGTTCATCATCAGAAGTTCCTAACTCATTTGGAAAACTATCTTTCGGAGTATTCTTAGGATTACACGGTATAACTGCTAGTAATCAACTTGAATGTGTTCACTATCTTTCTATGAAAAACCGATAAAACAGAATTTTGTGGTGAACTTGTTATTACTTCAGACATTTTCACTGCACCTTGTACTGTTTTAATGCTTCATAACAATTTTATTGATGAAGGTATCCATGCTACTTTTTTCTGTGAATAACTTTGTTAATAAATTTCTGATTATTTTCTCATTTTTCGCCCAGTTTTTATGGAAGTTTTTTTCTGATAAATGATAACCTTTATCAGAATACTGTACATGAACTGCTTTTTTTGTAGGAAAACTTATGATGAAAAAATTTTTGTTGAAGTTCTAATTTGTCTCAAAGTTTCTATTCTTTGAGATTTTACATTCCGGTGAACTGTGAATACTTCTAACATTCATGTTGATCAATTATATTAATTTGGGAGTTCTGATATAATTATTTGCGTAATATGGTACAGCATGATTAGTTTCTGAAAGAATAAATACATTCTCGTAACCAAAAAACTTCCATATCATCTACTGAGTATTCATTTCGAATAAATTAATTAATGTCATTGCCATTTCAAAACTGAGACTGTTAGTCGAAATATTTCGAATAAAACTCTTAGAATCCTAGAATGCTAGAGAAAGTTTATACGTCTTTTTTCCGAAAGATGGAGCTCACGTGATTAGTGCACGAACTAATATTCTTAGCATTCGGATATAGGACCTGAAGGCGTTTTGAAAGTCATTGATTCTTGATTGATTGATAGAACTGATGATTCTTAATGGGGATGGAACATTTGCATCTTATTATCATTCAACAAGTTCCATGATTTTTCCACGCCCATTCAACATTCACTCTCGAAAGTGATTGGTTCTCTTCGACATTTGAGTAGCACCCTGAGAGCTTCATTGGAAATATTCAGATAATTCGATTGAGAGTCTCAGTATTGATTGAAATATCAAAAATTGATACGGTCCTACGGAGTGAGTGTTGTTTGATTCGAGGAAAATAGTAATGAGATTTTATTGTCGAAACGTATAGTTGAGTTTCTGATGAAAATATATGCAATCGAAAACCAGCCTAGGTAAAATATCTGCTGTTTCTATCTTCCGAAACATGGTTGAATGAACGAATACCAACAATTTTGGATGGAAACCCAAGATACATAGTTTCGTCGTACAAGCTACTCGTCAGTTTCATATCGAAGAATCATTTTATAACCCCCAAAATATCTACTTTCAGGACATAACAACTCAAGTCACATAGTCAGTGTTTGTATGCAGAAGAAAAAATATAATGAAAATCATAAAAATATAAAACCTATTGAGCGAAAGCACTACATAAACTTAAATTTTTCGAAATTGGAGCATTTTGGTTTTACATACCCATCCCAGTATTCAAAATATACTTGTTGAACTTACGCTCGAAAATTTTGCAATAATTCTAGTTCATAAGAACTTAAATGAATTATAGATATCATCAAATAACTGGGATTGAATTCTCGCTCAACTCTCGGTGAAACATAATTATTAAATTATGAAATTTTATTAATTATTATATTATATATTTTTAATTATTAAATTGTGAAATAATATTAAATTGAATCAAACACATGGCCTTATGTATTACGATTATATTTAACAGTATCAGTTCGTCAACATGTTTCGAGCGTGAGCTCATCTTCAAGACTTGAAGTCTTGTTAAATATAATCGTGAAACATTAAGCCATGTGTTTTATTTAATTTAACATCATGAATTAATTCGTGATATATACAATTTCTAAATCCAGATGATAAATCTAAACTTTGGATGGAAAAACTATCAGCATTACATAATATGGAACCAATGATTTTCAATTCTGAAAATGAATATATATCTAGCAAACAGTGTTCCCTGTTTAACAGATATTAATTCCAACATAATCGAATTATTTTTCACTGGGGTATATCTTCATATAAATATTGTTTTAATCTTATCATCTTTTAATAATCTGCTGTTGCTGTTTTCTTATAAGCAACGGAAAATTCTTCAATACTCTATTTATTCTTCTCAAATTATAAAAAGCAGACAAAAATATCATTTTATTAATTACACACCTCAAGAAAGATTGAAGAAAAAAGAGATAAAAACAATTTGTTCTAACAAAAGTAATATTGAGCCGCTTTTAGTGAATAATAAAGAAAAGATGAATGTTGAAGTCAAAAGCGGGATTTATAAAATTTTTTGTAATGAATCTCCAGCGTTTTATATTGGCCAAAAAGGTAGAAAAATAAAAACTCGGGTTGACGAGCATAAAAGGTCCATTTTGTACAATGTTAATGAAACTGGATTCGCAGAACATTGTATTAACTCTAACCACTTAAAGACTTTGAGAAAACCAAGTGTTTACACGCAGTTAATAAAGGAAAACTTTTAGACCTTTTAGAGGCAATTGAGATATGCAGTTCTTGGAAGAAAAAAGAAGACATCGTAAATGAACACATAAATATGTTGTTCGTTCCTTACTGTATTTTAGTCTTGAGAAAGAGCTCACTCTCGAAACATATTGACAAATTCATATTGTTAAATATAATCGTGAAACGTTAAGCAAACAGTTTAATTAAATTCAATATTTAATTATGTTTCATCAAGAGTTAAGCGAGAACTCAATCTCAGTCATTGTTCTAATCGTCTCGTCTGTAGTTTTCGTACTTCAAATTCGTTCAATTTTTTCTCAGCCAAAACGTTAAACCTAACATGTGTATGCGTATTTCTGTATGTGTAGTGTACGAATTTTCTTTAAATGCTGAGTAATATATCTCCGAAAGATTGTAATGATCTGGATTCGACCCTGGTGCTTCACTCTGCGCAAACTACTAAACGCTTATCGGGTGCTCTAGATCGCTTGATGTCTAAGCGCCTCAGCATCCCTAGGTGGTGATAGCGGTTATCTGTGGCTGGTGATGATGCCCTATCTTGGGGGACATTAGTCGCGCTGAAGGAAAGTTTGAACTCCATTACACCATGTTGGAAACTAACTACTAATAGAAATACTTGAGATATAACTTCGGTGCTGTCAATATTTAGCAGCCCCTTCAGTCCACTCCTCATCAACGAAAATAGCCTGAAAACAATGAATTGAAATTAATACACTTCGCTAAAGTTTAACAAAATATATGAAAAAACTCTACATAAGTTTCAAGTGGTTAACCCATTATCAAGAGTATACAATTGATACAATTTTATATAATAAATAAAACATAATTGGGTTTTCATAAACATATGGAATACAAATATAGATTGAAACAACACAAAATC